CCAGGGCCCGGGTCTACTGGGGGGCCCGGACCAAGATGAAAAATTGTCGGGGTAAAAACAAAATCTCCATAGGGCCCGAGCACAAGCCAGGATGAAAACTTTTGTTGTCAGATTTAGGAGGAGACTTAATTTGGGGAGCGGCCGAGTGGGGGTCCCAAGTAAAGGGGGCCCCATGTGAGGTGTTGCCCCGGGGCCCTTACTGGCTCTCGACGCCACTGCACTGTGACAAGAAAAATATTTGAGACAATTACCATCAGTTTAGGTACGGTAACTTTAATTGAATGTATTTCCGATGAATTACGTTTTACATAAATGTACCTAGATCCACGATGACACAATAACCTGCCATTTGTGTTTTTGTTAAATTTGGAAGGTTTGCGGAAGAGCTGAAATTAGACTCTGTTTGTGTGCCACTCTTGTAAAAGTTTGTTATATAAATCAATCTAAATCTTAACTCACTTAAAGGCTTCCAAGAGGAAAACGGCTGTAATTGAAAACAAAACTATTCCGAGTAGTTAACCGGAATCATCTCTAAATTAACAGGCATCTGAGAATGTAGACTACAGTACTACTATGATTGAAGTATTTGTTAGAGAGGACCCGTATCGTTATATCACCTCTTTCCAACAGTCCTCCCATTTATACACAGCACACTACATATTCATTTTCTCTCACTTATTAAACGGAACACGTCACTAAAAGGGTGTGGATAAATATGTCACATACCAAGACCGCACATCCAGAGCTGGAGCCTCCTGCGCTGTAAAGATGGTTGTAAGGGTTTAACGTCGGTCCTTTTGCTGCCAAAAAACTATGCCCAGAAACACAATAGTCTTCACACAGCGCTTTGCCTGCGATTCTTCCACCTTTGATATGAACCCATAAAATGCGTTAGAGAAATTGATTTTGGAATAGGCATATCATAGTTCAGCAAATAAAATTAATAATAATTAATTGTTTTTGACAACCAACCTGCATCGAGAACTCTGGAAACCACTGTGGCATCAAACTCTGGCACATAACCCTCTAGGATCCACGTTCCTCCCATCATAGGAACTCCAGATACAGCAATAGTATCTTTCATTGCTATGTTCTTGCCTTTCAGTATTCCTGTTGATGCACCCGTGATGTTTGTTTTCCAGTACCTAGGTGTAAATGCAATAATAATGGTATATAATAAATACTATTTTTTTTATATTTGTAATTTAAAATATGGCTAAATAAATTTAGTATCTGAGCCTGTTTTGCTTTCATAAACCAAGGACAGAAGCATAATACAAGGGTCCGGCCATTACATCCCTTTAAAAAAAATAGATCTTAAATCTTATCAATTGTAGCCATGTTATGAAATAATTATATAAAAATGCATATTTTTGTCTTTTTCTATTACACTTTTTTTTTTTAATTATAAGAACCAGTAAAATTTTGCCCAGGCTTACTGTTTTTTGGGGCCGATCAGGCTCAAACTGTTTTACACACTTTTCAAACATAAAACATTATTATTGTACAGCAGTACACACTGTACTGAAATGTAGGTAAAAGTGGCCCCGGAAAAAAATCGCTCCTGAAAAGGCCCTGGTCAAAATGGCCCAAGATGACAGGAGGTACACCTACTATACTGTATCATGGAGAGTGTTACATAGTAGTCACACCTACTTTTAATTAAAAATCTCATTTGATATTTTACCTAAGCCTCAATTTGTTCTTATTTTGTTCTTAATTGTTAAGCAATTTCAGCCTCAGTGTTCTCATACGGTAAGGTGTGTTCTTATAAGTGTATCTGAGCCTGTTTTGCTTTCATAAAGCGCCGACATTGTAATTATATAGGCCTAATAGGTCTATAACATGTTTGGCGAATCAAATGACCGAGAAGTTTAAAAGGGCCACAACCTGCCTATAGCAATAATATCGTCGTCTGGTTAAGGTAATTGCGTAGGAGGTAGCATATGATAAACTCCATAAGAATACAAAAATCCAACCTATCTCCATTTTTCTAGGCCTTATTACCTTTAATATAATAAATATGAAAGAGAGAAGTAGTGATAAATGAAAAAGGGAGAGAGGAAAAAAAAAGAAAAAATCAATGTTACATTAGAGTTTAGTTTACTGCTTTTATAATAAGCTGATGTTCTGTTCATAATCATTTTAACTGTGTTTATAACATATATTCGGCTGTTCCGTACCAGGCATTCAACGGGTTTTCCTCGGCTTGGGGTCTGTAACCCGGTAACCGCGGGTACTTTACTGGAAGTGAAATATCAGGTAGTTTATCAACCGCAGAATAACAGCCAATGATCTCCTTCATCAAATTCCTATATTCCACAACTTCGTCATCAGTAAGATCAATTCCGATACGCTCTGCAAGTTCTCTTATCTTCTTTTGGCTAGGTAATCGGACAGGAGCAGAACTGTAGAGGTCATCTGTAACAAAGTCGAACAATCATATAATTTATATATTTGATATAACTGCCAATTGTTAGTGCTTCGAAATTATGAATTGATTGCGGCCTAACTTGTAAAAGAAAGCATTCTGATGACTAAAAAGTAAAAAATGGAGGGAATAGAAGGTACAAAAAAAGTCACCCTCAGCCTCACCATGGCTGTGGCTAAGATGTAAATGATTTGCATGTGAAACGTCTAAGTGTCCAGAAAAAACATTCTCTCTTTCTGTTTACGAAATTATTTATCGGGGGAGGCATGTACTACGAGAGTTCACCTCTGCCGAACATGATTCGGACTGAGGCAACAACTTTGTTGATGTGACAACTCTATATGCCTTGAAATTGCACTCTCAGACATAAATAGTAACTCATGTGAACCTATCCTTTGACAAGTGAACCCCTTTCATGCATATAAACTGAATAATATGGACCACAAAAAAATTGTGGACCCAGCGGACCAACTTAATACAAAATAAACTATATAAACCTTTTTTTTTTAAATTCGGACGAATTTTATTCATAAAAATGTAATTATGGCCTAATATGGACTCACCATGCAAAAGTTTGACCAATTTTATTCATAGGCCTATAAACTGAATAATGTGAACCATTTTAAACATCTCTGTCGTATTAATAGGTTTGTAACATCAGCCAAAATATAGCATCCTAATTAGACAAAAGAATACAGCCTCCTTAACAAAGGCTGACACATCATTACAAGACTATTTTGAGTTTACAATTGCTTTACGTCTGCTTACCTATTGCAGTAGTGCTTCCTTTTGATTGAAGACTCATGATTATTCAAATATTTGTTGAAAATCAAGATGGACGAATGTGTGCTTCTGCTGCAGAACCTGAAGTGTTTCTAGCATTCAATGTTTCATGATTATTAGCGTATATAGTTTATCGTAGCTCGTAAAACTTTCCATCTTGCGATATAATCAATATTTATATTGACTTTAAACAAATCACATGGTTGACATTTAATTTGATTTGGCTTAGCAGAGGCGTCATCAAGACACTGAAAAGGGGGTTTATTTCGATATATTTTTTTATGAAGTCTGACATACGGTCCTAAAGTTTGATTCTCCCCATATTTCACAAACCAGTGTGCTGGTACAAACATAAAAGAGGAGCACGAAGAAAAATAAAAATTAGTTCAAAGTTCAATTAACATATATATTTGACGTTAAAAAAGTGATTACAAACATTAATGAAAGTGATTATTTCAAGTTCAAGTTTCGTTTGTTTCTCATTTGGTAAAATAATATAAAACTAATAAACACTACATTATAGATAAGCTATAATAAATCAATTATCTATAGTGTGTTTATTTCATTTCATTTTTATTTATTTCACACAAAGTTGCTTGGACTTCTAAAGAAGACATTGCCTCTGACTCAGTGAGCCAGAGGTCCTAACATAACATTAAAAAACATACAATAAGATTTCGATTAAAATTTATTTAAAAAAAACATATAGGCCTATCGAAATGAAAAATGTATCTGATACGCTTTAAACCTACTTAAAATACTTTAAGTTCTAGAAAAAAAATGTAGATTAAAAGAAGCAATCCTTTTCCTTACAAATAATTATTATTTCAATAAAAGCATTCAAATATGGCTCGTACATTTTTATATATCGAGCATGGAAGACACAGAGCCAGAAGATTTCTTCTGGTTGCCTTGACTATCAATCATGAACAAAGGTTCTATTGTTATTAAATAATATTCCATTGATTCACTGAAGTTGGTATACACAAAAAAACTCCAAGCTTAATGCTTTCCCTAATCAATTACTGACAGCTCTCAACATGAGCGATATCATTAATTTGCTAAGAATATAATTTTTGTTTATGTCAATGCATAAAAGCAATCTTTAAAAATATTATCAAATTATGTAAAAATTATAACAAGGCCTTTTCCACGAATCGGTAGACATCTTGAAGTGATGACAAACAACCCAAGTCAGTGGTGCGTAACCAACAAAAAAAAAGATAAGCTTTGAAGCTGAATTCTTGTTCTCATGTTATCTAAAAATCCATAACTCCATAACGGAGGATCGTATCACATTAATTTTTTTCTGGAAAATGTTCTCAAAAGACTATTCTACACCACTATATGATTGAAAAAAAATGTTTGACCTTTTGAAAAAGAAAAGCCTATCTAAGTAGTGTATTAAAATAGGCCTATGCATTACAGTGCAGTAGTACTAGTAGTACTCTAGACAAGCATTATTTTAATTACCATATGAGGGTTTCCTGTGTTAAAAACATGATTTACTGTACTATACTTCTTTATAAAACATAACTTGTACTTTATAATACTTAGAGAAATCTGTAAATTATCGGTACCTGGAACAGTAACAGTACGAAAGTATTATATGCTTCTGATTTCAGAAGTTAATTTCAGAGGTCAAAATCATTTTTCAATCATAAATAGTGGTGTAGAATTACAGACAGAGGAAAACATTTTTATTTTAAATCATGTTTATAGAGGGTGACCCTTCCGTGTATCCTTCAAATTCGGTTGATATTTTTTTTTCTAAATAAACTAATGTAAAGCCTTATCAGCGAAGTCTAATTATGAGGCTTAGGATGTTAGTATATGTTTCATTATGAAATAAATTTAAAAAAAAAACACATAAATGTACGTGTTTCATTTTATTTCATTTTGCTATGTTTATAAGTGTTGTTAGTTGCTGCTTAAATATGAAGTTTCCCATTAACAGTTTCAAAAGCATTTGTACTATATATTGTATTGTTTAAAGGTTTGCATGGCGAAGTAATAATATATGTTGAAACTTGCGGTACACCACTTAAGTAGTTCGGAAAAGAACTGTAGTAGTTGAGAAAAAGTCGACGTTTCGATTGAGTTGCTTCAATCGTCTTCAGGAGAATAATATCTGCAGAAACTCCAAACAGAGAAATACATATATGTTTGGATAGAGAGGCAAGTTTCAACATATATACTATATACTATATGATTTGGACTGAGGCAACAACTTTGTTGATGTAACAACTCTATATGCCTTGAAATTGCACTCTCAGACATAAATTGTAAATTATGTGAACCTATCCTTTGACAAGTGAACCCCTTTCATGCATATAAACTGAATAATATGGACCACAAAAAATTGTGGACCCAGCGGACCAACTTAATACAAAATAAACTATGTAAACCTTTTTTTTAAATTCGGACGAATTTTATTCATAAAATGTAATTATGGCCTAATGTGGACTCACCATGCAAAAGTTTGACCAATTTTATGCATAGGCCTATAAACTGAATAATGTGAACCATTTTAAACATCTCAGTCGTATTAATAGGTTTGTAACATCAGCCAAAATATAGCATCCTTATTTAGACAAAAGAATACAGCCACCTTAACAAAGGCTGACACATCATTACAAGACTATTTTGAGTTTACAATTGCTGTACGTCTGCTTACCTATTGCAGTAGTGTTTCCTTTTGATTGAAGACTCATGATTATTCAAATATTTGTTGAAAATTAAGATGGACGAATGTGTGCTTCTGCTGCAGAACCTGAAGTGTTTCTAGCATGCAATGTTTTCATGATTATTAGCGTATATAGTTTATCGTAGCTCGTAAAACTTTCCATCTTGTGATATAATCAATATTTATATTGACTTTAAACAAATCACATGGTTGACATTTAATTTGATTTGGCTTAGCAGAGGCGTTATCAAGACACTGAAAAGGGGGTTTATTTCGATATATTTTTTATGAAGTCTGACATACGGTCCTAAAGTTTGATTCTCCATATATTTCACAAACCAGTGTGCTAGTACAAACATAAAAGAGGAACACGAAGAAAAATAAAAATTAGTTCAAAGTTCAATTAACATATATATTTGACGTTAAAAAAAGTAATTACAAACATTAATGAAAGTGATTATTTTAAGTTCAAGTTTCTCATTTGGTAAAATAATATAAAACTAGTAAACACTACATTATAGATAAACTATAATAAAACAATTATCTATAGTGTGTTTATTTCATTTCATTTTTATTTATTTGACACAAAGTTGCTTGGACTTCTAAAGAAGCAATTGCCTCTGACTCAGTGAGCCAGAGATCCCAACATAACATTAAAAAACATACAATAAAAATTCGATTAAAATTTATATTTTTTAAAACATATAGGCCTATCGAAAAGAAAAATGTATCTGATACGCTTTAAACCTACTTAAAATACTTTAAGTTCTAGAAAAAAAATGTAGATTAAAAGAAGCAATCCTTTTCCTTACAAATAATTATTTCAATAAAATCATTCAAATATGGCTCGTACATTTTTATATATCGAGCATGGAAGAAACAGAGCCAGAAGATTTCTTCTGGTTGCCTTGACTATCAATCATGAACAAAGGTTCTATTGTTATTAAATAATATTCCATTGATTCACTGAAGTTGGTATACACAAAAAACTCCAAACTCAATGCTTTCCCTAATCAATTACTAACAGCTCTCAACATGAGCAATATCATTAAGATTGCTAAGAATATAATTTTTGTTTATGTCAATGCATAAAAGCAATCTTTAAAAATATTATCAAATTATGTAAAAATTATAACAAGGCTTTTTCCACGAATCGGTAGACATCTTGAAGTGATGACAAACAACCCAAGTCAGTGGTGCGTAACCAACAAAAAAAAAAAGATTAGCTTTGAAGCTGAATTCTTGTCCTCATGTTATCTAAAAATCCATAACTCCATAACGGAGGATCGTATCCCATTAATGAAGTTTCCATTAACAGTTTTAAAAGCATTTGTACTATATATTGTATTGTTTAAAGAAAAGAAAAGAACTGTAGTAGTTGAGAAAAAGTCGACGTTTCGATTGAGTTGCTTCAATCGTCTTCAGGAGAATAATATCTGCAGAAACTCCAAACAGAGAAATACATATATGTTTGGGTAGAGAGGCAAGTTTCAACATATATACTATATACTATATATTGTATTATCAAATGACACAAGCGGATGATATAAACAAAAGTAACTGCGAAGTATTATCCTAACGTGTGTCGTACATTGTACGTATAGTAAGGATTGCATTAGAAATACAGCAGTCAACAAGTGGTATATATTACTCAATCAATACCGCCATACTTAGACTGAAATTTGATAAAATAAAAGTTTTTTTTTTAATTAATTGTTATTGCCGATTGAGCTATTATACAACTCCATTTCTCACTTTCACTCTTGATTTGTTCTCTTTTGAATCGACTGATGGGATCGCCTGCCCCCCCCCCCTCTTTTCAATATAACAAGAAGCTTTTAAGAGTGCCAAGCCAATGCCCATAAAGTAGTGCCGTCTGGAGTGAAAAGTTTATCACTATTATTATTATTATTATTATTATTATTATTATTATTATTATTATTATCATTATTATTATTATTAT